GTTCGATCCCCAGTACCAAAAAAATTTTATATTAATATCCATTTTAGGTTTTGTCACAATAATATTTAGGTAAAATTTAGAAATCCAATCTGACCTTTTCTTTCAGCAAGTAGAAGGAACTTTAGAAGAATTTTCGTATCATTTACAGTCTAAGGAATAACACATTACACCAAGATTCTGATTTGCTCTGTAAGAACTAAGAATTCTTGAACAGTAACTTGCATATACTCATGTATTCTATTGGTAAAATTTGGAAATTTCTTATCAGTGTTAAAAGAGCCAAGAGGACATGAATAAGAGGATGGTTTGTCACATACTGAACAAGGAAAGGGGAAAGCTAAGACACTGAGAGTACAGTATGAAGTGAGATTTTTAAAATATAGTGAATTGCTGGGGATTTAGCTCAGTGGTTCTGCCGCCTGAAGAGGACTTTCAAAGCTTCAGAAAGGGGCAAGAAAATACCACTTGTTTGAAGCAAGGGTAGTATTTTGAGGAGAATTAATGGGAATGCATCTTGTAATGTGGTAATTTTTAAAAAATTTAAACAATCATCATGTATTTTGATCATACTTTGTACTATTTCTACTTTCTTATCTGAGTATATATTTTTATTGTTATCCTGTTTTATACCATTGCCAAGGATTTGTGATAAAACTGGATAGAATGAAAATAATAAAACAAATTCAATTCTATTTCTTAAAGTATCAAATCAAAGAAAAGCTCTTAAAAAGATGTTTCTCCATTAAAAACATATATCAATACATATCTATTTGTTTACATAAGCTTAGTAATTGCTCACTAAATCTTTTATAAAGAACTAGGTTGGGGCTGGAGATTTAGCTCAGTGGTGCCGCCGCCTGCCTGCCTGCCTCGCAAGTACAAGGTCCCGAGTTTGATCCCCTGTACAAAACAAAACAAAACAATAACTAGGTTGTTTAAAAAAACCACTGTATAGTCACATCTTGAAATTTTTAAGACTGTATTTGTAAAAAAAAAATGGTATTAGTAATAAGTTTAGATTCTAAGTGCATGGATTCACTGTGCTTTTCTAATAATACCTACTTTGCTGAACAGAAATTCATCTGCAGTTCCAAACTTAAGAAATGAATGAATCAAGATCCTATGATCTGGAGAGCCTCTGCATCCCTTTCATACCTATCCTTGGCTCTGCCACAAGGTCAGAAGGGTTCTTGGCTCTCCTTCCATGTTAGGGATAAATGCTGCCAATTGATTACTGTCAGATAATGATGACTATGTGCTGTTCAACCACCGTATGTTTTATACACATGCTAGTAATACTTGGAGAACAACTTAATCACCAGTGAAACAGACAATTAAGGACTTACTACCAGCATTAATTTTGCCAATAAGTGGCCCTTACTGTCCAATGTCAGGTGACTGTAGCTCTCAAGACAACAGGAAAGAATATCCTTTGCCAGGCAATTGCCAATCCTTGCTATTTATCCCTTCCATTCTAAGTGTAAAATATTAGGACAGAATACATGCAAAGCGGACAATAAATTCAAATAATGAGCGAGGGGGGGGATTGTCTTGACTGTAACAACAGATGCATTAAGGCACTTTGAGATCTTCAACCAAACTGTTGATTGAGTTTATTGGTTAAAACTATCTGGGTGTGGTGGCATGCACCTATAATCTCAGCTCTCGGGAGGCTAAGGCAAGAGACCTCAGAACTCTGCCAGTTCGAGGATAGCCTGAGCTACATAGTGAGCTCAAGGCCAGCCTGAACTACATGGTAGGACCCTGCTTAAAAAAAAAAAAGAAGGCTGCAATAATTTTTAGTAACAGAATTTCTTTCAACATCTTTAAGTATGGTTAGTGCTTTGTGTACTACATTATTCTTACATTACTTATAAATTATATATTCCTCTTTACCATGTTCATTAAGTTCTTGCCTTTTTCCTTGTTGGGGAGGAAAATGTATACTTTGCTTTTATTTTTTGGTACCGGGGATCGAACTCAGGACCTTGTGCTTGAGAGGCAGGCGGCGGAACAACCGAGCTAAATCCCCGGCTTGTATACTTTGATTTTTAAGTAAAAGTTAATGGAAAAATCAAATTTATAGAAAGAAATTTGTGTATTTAAGAAGGGTATTGCTATTATTTTTCAGGATCTATGACTCTTCAATCACTTGATTTAATGTATCTTTCCCATGCAAAATCTGTATATTAAAATTCCTTTTTCTATAATTATTTTATAAGATAAAAAGATCTGCTCTTGTAGAAACCTTTAGGAGGAATGGAATTTAACAAATCTACTCTAAAACTCCAGTCTGAGGTGAAACAGGGTGACAAAGCAGCCAGGGAGAGGGCAAGGTGGTACAGTCACATGGGGCTAGTGGTTGAGTGGGTGAGGTAGGGTTTCCTGCCACTGCTGATGCACTCTTTCACAAAGTAAAGCTTTTTTTGGTCTTTCTCCTTGTGTCTTTTCCCTAACATATTTCCTAGAACAGTTCAGACCTAGAAAACATGGTTGTTATTTACTCAGAATCCAAGGAAAGGTAGGTCTTCAGTGTTGATAGCCAAGACGCAGACAGATCAAAAGCTAAATCCAATTTAACCTACCTCAGGCAGAAAAAGTAATTGAATTAAATTTTCTCTAAATATGATAAGTTTGGGGCTCTTAAAGCCAGGCACAAAGAGCTAGGTTAAAGTGAGCTGCTAAGTAAATGGACGCATTGAGCTCTAGCCACCCCGCCCACAGGGAGTTTGATAAGCTGTTGATTGCCTCTATCACTTTACTACCCAGGCTGAAAACTGATTAAGCTGCTTGTGGGGCTCTGGGGCTAATGGCCTGGCCTACCAAGAACACCACTGCCAGTGATTTAAGTAAGCTGCTTGGCCCGTATAGCTTGATTATTACAAGGGAGAAGAAAAGAAAAGAAAAAGACAGCAGGATAGAGGAAAGCTTTAAAAAGCAGGCTTTATTATTCCAAATGGATATATTACTTTGACATCCTAAAATGAATTAAGGAATTACTCTGACTTTTCCTCTTCATCTCATATCAAAACTCGTTTTTGAACGGCCTCCTCAAAGAGTATTCACTTTGGAGCCCACACGTTCTACTTTAAACCACCTTTACAAGAATGTTTCATGCCTTTAAACACCAAGCAACAGCATCTGGGGGTTCAGACACTATGATCAGACAGACTCAAGAAAACAGATATATGCATAATGGGTATTCTGATTTTTCCTCTTGTACAGCTTTGGATAATTGTAATTCAAAATATATTCTTTTCCACCCCAGCCAGCAGATAACTGCTGCCTATGAAGTAAAGAGCAAGCAGGACTGATGAGCCAGAGGAGGCCAGCATGCGCAAATAGGTCTAAACTGGACGCACAGGTAGAAATTAAAGCCTTGGTCTTTTCTCAGGCCTCTCCAACTAACTGCTCTAAAATTATTTCTGCCATTTAAAATAACTTTCCTACCTCCAAAGGGACAAAGAATACAAAAGTCTTAATTTTAAAATTTAAAAAAAAGACATACAAGAAACATTAAAAAGTAGTTTGAAAAATAACTGAAGGACTTGAACTCAGTTTTTAAGTTGACCTCATTACTCTGATAAAAACAATGGGGAAGGAAAACAACAACAAAAGAATGGAATCACAGTGTTTTGAGATGTTCTGAAAGTTGTCACAATTTTTTTTTTAAACTGACTCTTGGAAAAATCAGTACATGTATAGAAAGGAAAGCAATGTTTTCATTTTGTGTCTAACAGCTTAAGGAGTTGTTGATTTAAATGATTAACCAAAGCTTAACATATTCAGAATTTAGGGCTGAACACAGGTAACCTCGGTTTCTTCCAACTGCTAACCTCGCCGTCAATCATTAAAAGTACATGTAGTAATAAAAGTATAAAAAGATGATTGGACTCTTACATGCTCTGTTATATTTTATTAAACTGTAAAAGTTATTCAACTGGTCTGGGGATTTAGCGCAGTGGTTCTGGTGCCTGCCTCGCAAGCGCAAGGTCACAAGTTCGATCCCCGATACCCCCCCCCCAAAAAGTTATTCAACTATTTGGGTTGAGCGCAAGTCAAAGGGTTTAATGCATTTAATGTCTTTCACATCTTTTTTCTTTACATAATTTTTAAATGAAATATAATTAACATACATTAAAATCCACTTTTAAAGTAAGCAACTCATTTTTTAATCTATTCATAAAATTGTACAATCATCTTCGCTATTTAATTCTGGAACACTTTCATCAGCCCCCAAAGAAACCCCATATTAGGAGTCACTACTTATTTCTTTGCTTTCTCCAGATTGTGGCAACCACTAATTTGCCTACTCAGGACATTTCATTTAAATAGAATCATAAAATATATACTATTTTGTATGTGGCTTCTTTCACTTAACATGATGGAATTTTAGGACTCATCCACACTGTAGCATGTATTAATACTTCCCTCCTATTTAGGCTGAAAAATACTCCATTGTACAGCTAAACATTTTGTTCATCATTTCATCAGTTGACAAACATTTGAGGTGGCTTCCACTTTTTGCAATTATGAAGAATGCTGCACTGAACACTTGTGTACATGTTTTTAATGTGGATATATACATATTTTTAATGCTCTTGGGTATATACCAAGAAGTATAACTGCTGGGTCACATGGTAATTCTATACTATTTTGAGGTACTGCCAAACTGTTTTCCAAAGTGGCTATACCACATCACATTCCCACCAGCAATATATGAGAGTTCTAGTCTCTGTACACACTTTTTTGGTACTGGGGATCGAACTCGGGACCTTCTGCTTTCAAGGCAGGTGGAACCACTGAGCTAAATCCCCAGCCCCTCTGTACACACTTGCCAATATTTGTTATTGTCCTATAATCTTTTTATACCAAGCTCCTCCCCCATTCTAAATAGAAACTATCAGGAGTTGTGATGAAAAATGTACCAGTGATGGCAGAATACCCACAAAGAAATTTCCCTAGGAAGAAAATAAAAGTGAAATGGGCTGAGCACTCACCTGCTGCAGGTCGGCGAGGGAGTACAGGTGGATCTGCTGAAGGAGGTATTCTCGGGGGAAGATTCTGAAAACAAGGGCAGACAGGCAAGTGAACTGTTGTGTCATGCGATTTGCTTTTTTAAGGTTCAAAATCTCATTCAAAAATTTCTTTCCTCTGCCTTTTCCCCTTCTCGTGTACTCCTACTCCCCAAACCCTCTGAGAAACCTGCAATAATACCTTTTCCTTATAGTTTGCTTTCTAACATCAATGTCAGAATGGAAGTTTGGTGCTTCTTTTGCAATATTATGGATTAAACCCAGGGCCTCAAACATGCTAAGCAAGCGCTCTACCACTGAGCTACTTCCCCAGCCCTTTTGAGACAGGGTTTTTGATAAGCTGCCCAGGCTGGCCTTGAACTTGCCAATCCTCCTGTCTCAGCTTCCTGAGTAGATGGGATAACAACTGTGCACCACTGCACCTGGCTGGTCTTTCTATTTTTAAGGTGCTGAGGACCAAACCTGGGGCCAGTGAGGCAAGTGCTCTATCACTGAAATACATTCCTAACCCTGTTCTTTCATTTTCAATGGAATCTGAAATGCTATAGTACTGTGGAGTAGGTCCAGGCCTGTGGACCAGACCATCAGGCTTCTTGTGCCAGCTGTGTCCCTAACAAACTATGTAATCTCAGGCAAATCCCAGACCTCCTTCTACACTGTGTAAAGATGGTAAGTGAACTTGGTGTTACTAAGTGTCTTTCTGGCTGTAATACTGCATGCCTAAATTAACTGATATTAGAGTTGAGTAATCCTAGCAGAGCAACCTATGTGTTTGTCTAGAGGCTCCCATGGCTTTCATTAATGCAGAACAGTGGTACTGAGCATCACATTAATGAGCCACCCGAAATACATAATGATGGTGAATTTTAGAATCCAGGTATGATGGTTAGTCTTGAGTGTCAATTTGATTGGCTTGAGAGATATTTAGGAGATTAGTAAAGCTCAATTCTGGATATGTCTGGGTGGATCTTAGGGAGTTTAACCTTGGGGACTCTATCTGGTCCCTGGCTGCTTTCTCTCTGGCTTTTCTGCTGCCTGCTTCCCAGATTCCCTGAGCTGAGCAGCTTTCCTCTTTCTCGCTCTTCTGCCATGATGTTTCTGGCTTGGAGCCAGCTGACCATGGACCGAAACCTCTGAAACCATGAGCCAAATATACCTCTCCTCCTTTAAATTGTGAGTGTCAGTTATTTTGTTCCAGCAATGCAGAGGTGATTAATATAACAGGAACAGATGTGAATAATGGGAGAAATATTCTGAATTGGGGCTCCCTAATAAAGTCCAGTATCTTTGGTTGCTGTTAGTTTACAGGATCTAGATGACAGTGAATGAGTAGGAAAAAACAATTGATTATGAACTAGCTGATAGGTATCAAAGGGTAGGTGGTTACAGAGCACCACACATACAAAGTAAACCCAAACAAAACTCACGGTGCTAGCATTTTCTCAGATTGTCTTTTGTGGTTCTATGCAATTATCTTATGTCTTAAATGAAAGAAACCATTAACTTATTCAATTAATATTTATGACTATCCACTAGATGTCAAGCACCATGTCACACATGAGGAAGATAATTATGAATAAGACAATCCAAGTGTCTGAGTTCAAGAAGCATAAAGTCAGCCAGGGTTGGGCATGTCTGTAATGCCAGCTATTTGGGAGACTGAGGTATGAGGATCATATGTTCAAGTCTAGGCTAAGAAACTTAGCCAGATTTTGTCTCAAATTAAAAAGGGATGAGGATGTATCTTAGCACTCTCCTGGTAGGTCAGTCCTTAGTACTGGGGGGGGGGAGCATAAAATCAAATGAGGTAAGGACACATAAATTGATAATTATAGTGTAACATGGAAATGGAAAATGGTAACAGTTATGTATGTGGTACACTTTTTTTACAATGGTCTAACATGGTAGATTACAATCCTGGCTGTCCATTGGAATCACTTGCAGAGCTTTTAAAAAATGACAGGAAACACGCGTGAGTGGAGCCCAGAAGTCAGTGTTAAACAAAAAATTAGATGAGTACTCTCCCAGTGATTATACAGCCAAGGTTTAGAACCACCGGCCTAATATCTAGGTCCCTGGGAAATTCATTATTCAGTCTTTCAGTTAAGTATGAATTCATTACCAAATCCTAGAGATTAAATGGTCCATCCTTGTATCTACCCTATATTTTTTTCCTTCTTAAATTCTTTTATTGGTACATTTTAGGCATACAATACATTTACATTTATCATAGGGAACTTGTACCTTTACATAAGGTATCTTGATTCTTATTTTTTCCCCATTCCCCTGCCCTCCCTTCAACTCCTCCACCCCTCCCTATTTACAAAGACTTTGTTTCCATTTCTTCCTTTTCTCATATTTTTTTCCTTTCCCCTTCCCCTCCCACTTGATTAAACACACACTATACACCAGTTACTGTATACTGGCCCACGGAGTAGGGGGCACTAGAGCTGTTAGACAAAGTCTTTATCCCATGGAGAACTGAGATAGGTGTATTCCAGTTTGGAGCTCTTCTAGAAAGTAGGACAGATACTGAAGAGATCTTTGGAAAAGCATGCTTCCCTCACAGAAACAAAACTAGGCTAAGAGAGTGACAAAGCCATAATATTCTGGGAAATGGAATACAGTTCCTGAGGCTGGGCTCTCTTCAACTCATGGTTCAAGGTTCAACTGATGGTTCAAGGTTGGACCCATGGCAGGAAGCACAGCACAGTCCCAGTGCAGCTGGGTAAAGTGGAAGGAAAATGCTCAATCTCTCCATGTTACCTTAGCTTCCCTAGAGAAGGCCCTCTGTTGTGGAAGGTAGATCACTATCCTTTGAGAGGCCAAGAGACAGAACCAATCTCTACTTCCAGTAACACGCAATATGACAGAGATGATTAAGAGAACTACTTTTCATGATGTTTTTATTATTAAACACTGATAAGATGAGCCCAATTTGGGACTTGCACTTGCCATACATATTTCATTCAGCCCTCACAATGGCCTGGCATAGTAAGTATAACCTCCATTTTACGTAAGAGGAACCAGGGCTCAGAACCAAGACTAATTTGCCAGCATCATAAAGCTGGAATTCAAGGCTAAGATTTTCTGAGTTCAAAGATTTGTGCTTCTTCCAGTTTCTTAGGGGTACCAGAAGAGCAAGGATGGATGTGGGGTTGAGTTGATTTATTCCAAATTTTCTTTTTATTTGTAAAGCGTTCATACTCTCATATCCTTCACCCAGATTTCCCTAATGTTTACATCTTATATAACCTCGGGACACTGATTTAAACTCAGAAATTAGCTATTATATAAATTAGAGACTTCATTCAGGTGTTACCAGTTGTTTCTGTTCAGGGTTCAATCTAGAATACAACACAGTTTATAGATTTTTGTTATTACTGAACATGCTATATTTAAGCATTTGCAAGGCAACTCGAGACAAACACGTATCAGAAAAAGAAATCTAAGACACAGTCTTTCAGTAGGGCTCTGAGGGTGGCAGAGTATGATACTATAATATGGAGACAGAGGATGGTGTTTGGGGATAGTTGAATAGGAAGAATGATCATTTTCTTTCCTTTTTTTTTTTTTTTTTTTTTTTGCAGTGCTGGGGATTGAACCCAGGACTTCACACCTATGAAATAAGTGCTCTACTACCAAGCTATACCTGAATAATCCTTTTGAAAGGTAACTGCTAAATAATGATATCTCTTAAATAAAGTAGAATGAAAGGAATGTGACAGCAGTGCTAAGATATGGGGATATGACTAAGGCAATGAATCATGTGAGTGGGCTGGAAAGTCATTTTGAGATGAGCTTTTACCTCTTCTGCTGGTTTGCAGGAACATAAGTGAGCTAGAGAGAGTCAGAAGGAAGATGACTGAAATGATGTCCAGCAGGCACAAATACTACAGGGTAGCATATCTATAATATCTTGCTACTTAAAATTCTCTGCTCTAAAATCCTAAAATTTCTGACTGAGAGTAGACAAGATACACGAATTATTTACAAACCAAATCATACCGGCCTACCTTTCCAAGAGTTTTATAGAGAGCCAGTCAGCTATATAGTAAACAAGCACTTCTGAGTGTCTAAAATAAGCCAGGCATTGAGTCAGATGTTGGAGATGGATATTTCAATGAACACAATTAATGAACACAAAGAGAATTTCCAGTTTCTTCTTACTTCCAAACACTGTACATTTTTCTTTTTTGGTACTGGGGGTTGAACTCAGGACTTTACACTTGCAAGGCAGGCACCGGCACCACTGAGCTAAATCCCTAGCCAAACACTGTTCATTTTTCTTCTCACAATAGCTACCCAACTTTGGTCATGTCATCTCTAATACTCCTTCAATACTGTTTGTACAACTAGTTTATCTAATGTTTATAAATGTGTAAATACATTTCACATATGCTTATTTTCCCTCTCTCTTTGGGAGAAATTTTAAGTCCTTCCTGAAACACGTTGTCTACTATTTCCCTTTATCATTCTTCTGTGTCTAATGCTATAATTTATATGAGGTCAGTCATGAAATACAAAGAACTGGAAAATGCAAGATATGCAGAAAAGATAAAGGAACCAAGCTTATTGTGTCAGAGAAGATGTTGGTTCCAAAAGACTTAGTGGTGGTCATTAAAAGTACAGAATTTGGGCAGAACACGCCGAGTCAGCCCACTGCAGACAGGCAGGTCTGTGCACGCCCTACCGAGGTCCTGAGTCGCGTGG